TTTTTTTTATTAATCTGTACATTCCTTTGTAAATTTTAACATTTTTGAACAGCTTAAATTTCTTAAATAGTCATCTGAACTAAACCAAACTTGGGGATATTATCAATTTTGATGTGCTTCAAGATGATACACGTAACTTGGCTATTTTTGCAATATTAAAACTCGAACCCAGCCTCCTGCTCGGACATGAAAGCTGGCAATATACATTTGTCGTAATTTGCATTATAATAATGTTTTGATTTCATCTTGATTTCACCACACTATGTTTGGTCTTGACGCACAAAATTAGCCTGTATCTTGTCTGTAAAACTAGTTTCGTTTTATTAAATCTCCTCAGTTACAAGATTAACATTCGTTGTATACAAAATACTCGCAATATCAAAGAATACTGTTTTGATAACTGTTAATTTTGTTTAGTATTAAACTCAATCGGTGTCTGAATAACATTCAGCAAAAACATTTAGAGATTTATAGTTCAAAGAGAGATTTTAGTTACTTTTTTTAATAAAAAATTACCCACAATACACCCTTTATATGTTTTTGCAAAAATTTTCGATATATAACGCGCGCTTTGATTGGCTGACGACCGTGTTTATATCAGAGGACAGAGACACGGCTTACCGGCAAAATTTGCTTTTCGCTCGAAAAATTTTATTACTCGAGAAGCAAGAGAAACACTCGCTACGCTCGTGTTCCTAAGCTTGCTTCTCTCGTGTTTTTCGAACTCCCACCGTGTTTATATCAGAGGACAGAGACACGCGCGTCGTTTTATATTTCTTAAATATACACCTACTTGCGAAAACGTTGTCATAGAAAATAGGACATTTGTATTTAGTAAAAAGGAATAAATTAAAAAAAGACAAAAGAAGATCACTGAGGCTGAACGCTTTCTTTTGTCTTGTTTTAATTTATTCCTTTTTACTAAATTCAAATGTTCTATTTTCTATGACAACGTTTCTGCAAGTAGGTGTAGCTATAAATAGATTATAGATTATAGATTTATTCCAAATATATAATGTATAATTGTAGTGAGTATCGATGATACACCAGAAATCACATTTATCAGGTGTTAAATGCCTTATCGAGTGCCGCACGTACAAGCACATTATTATGAAAARCTATGTTATCAAATGCGTTCGTTTATTTTATGTAACTTAATAAAATTTTATCAGTTTAATTTTGGGTTTGTGGTTTCGGCTCCCGAATTTCAACTGATCAACACTGAAAAACTAAAAATCATCACAACAGGTAAACAAACTTGTATTGCGATAAAACGGTTGAAATTCATAACTAAAACAAAACACTGAAGAAAATCAAAGAAAATTATATATATATTTTTTCAAAAGATAAAACAGAATATAAGAGATCTTACCAGTTGAAGTTTTGGGTGTTGTCTAGTTTAAACATGAACTTTTTTCAATAATTWCCGAAAGAGAGGCACTGAGTTTCTCTTGAACATGTTCTCTGAACTATCAATACCTATTGCTGATCTGTGTTTTTTTTATCGTAATCGTTAGGTTTTCTTATCAAGATTTACAAATGAATTAACGTCATCTTTACGTGGACTAGGATATCAAAAGAAGCTA